CGGGCCTACCACCTGGGAACCCCAATATTTCCAAGAGCTGGGGGAAGGGGAGGGGAGGGGAGGGAAGGGAAGGGGGAGCTGGCTGTCCCTCCACCTCCCATCTGGCATTCAGAGGCGTCATCTAACGTCCCCGGCATCCCCTCTCATTCTGGTGTCCCCTGTGTTCTAGAGGAAGCATAGACTGTGTCTCCAGGATGGGCTGTGGGAGCTGTGGAGCTCCCAGGGTGGCAGGAGCCCTCCGGGGAGAGGGGTGGGCCGTCCTGGAGCGGAGCAGTGTGGGGCCAAGCCCTGTGTCTTCTGCTGCTGCTTTTCCGGCTCTGGGGCCGGCCTCCTCCGGGGCCTGGGCTTCCTCACCGGCACGATGGGAATGACCCTGGAGCTCTGGGGAGCTTGGTGAGACCAGGGCCTTCCCCCAGCAGTGCCCCCAGGTGCCTGACGGGCCGTCGTGCTCTTGGTGGTATTATGACCACCTGGGGCCACATGATGACCCTTTTGCTTATCGGCAAAATAAGGTGGGTTTGGCAGCAAGAAAATCAAAGTGAAACTGGCGAAGGAAGCGCCGGCCTCCTCCCCAGCCTCACAGCCCCGGGACTCAGACCCAGTGGGCGCCCCTCCTGCTGCCTCCTGCTGTGTCCGGGGCATCCACACAGCCACCCCGCGGGAAGGCAGGATGGGCTGCTTGCCAGTTGACCTCCTGTGCCTCAGTTTCCCCCGTGACCCCGAGGCGATGAGAGCTCTGCTGAGCTGCCCCAGGGATTAACTGAGCTGGGCTTGGTGTGGCTGTGGCCAGCACGCTGGTCCTACCCCTCTTGTTGGTCAAATCTCAAGCTGACTTGTCCCAGGACCCTGGGTCCTGTGTGTGGCAGACGCTCCTCCCCACCCTCCCCGGCCCCCGCCTTCCCCATGGGCCCAGGGCCAGGACTGGGGGACTTGCTCCAGCCGGGGGACCGTCCGGGATTCCCAGGTCCAGGCCCACTGAGGTCTGCCACGGACAAGCATAGACGCCCAGGACCCCCTTCCTTGGCAGCTCCCAGACGGGCCCAGGCCCGGCTTCTCCCCAGGGCAGCTGGCAGCTGCATAATCCCTGCTCCCCCAGGGCCCTGGCAAAGGCCGGGCACCCAGCCCAGGAGACTCCACAAAGGGTTAAGGGGCGCGGGCGGCTGTGCCCACAGTGGGGCGGGGCAGCCGGGTTGGTGCTGGGCCAGGAGCACGGGCGAAGGCGCTGCATTTTAATGAATCATTATTGCCGGTGAGGCCTTTGTCTTTCTTTATCCGGTGCACAATAAAAGAATTAATTAGACAGAAAATGGCAGGGCAAGGAACTGACAAGTCATTACGGGCTGCTGAATGACCGATGAGATGCAGCCGGGAGGCTCTGGCCGGCTCCGGAATGATAATGGCCGCTGGGTGCTTTGTATGCACGACCAGCAGGCCTCTGTGCCGGGCCCGTGGTGCTGCTGTTGTGGCCGGCAGACCTGTGGTCCTGCCTCTCCGAGCAGGGCAGGGAGTGGGAATGCCGGACAAAATCCGAGTATGAATTTCTGGGTCCAGACACGGCAGTGCGTGTTCAGACGTGGAGGGGACGTGGGCAGCTGGTTCTGCCCTTTGGACCTGACTTCCCAGCGTGGGAGCAGACATGGAGGTGGGGTGTGGTGGGGGAGCTCTGCACACTGCAGGCAGCAGGGGTGTGGGGAAGAGAGGGAGAAGAGGCGAGGAGAGGGGAGGGGAGTCTCAGAGGACCTGGAGAAGCCCTCCCCGGAGCCAGGCTGGGCCAGCGTCAGCTGCTGCCACCATGGTGACTTAGACGTCATCGGGAAGAAGGGTCCCCCAACCCCCCCCGCAGACCCGGTTCTCCCACTCAGAGGCTTCAAGCTTCTCGTGGGTCTGCAGACTTCCCCGTGATCAGGAAGCATTGAGAACAGAGCCGCCCAGCCGGGAGGGCGGAGGGAGAGGCTACTGGAGGAACGTACCCGGGGTCCTGCTGCCTGGCTTCTGTGTGGGAGGCTCCCATCCTGGCCCTGTGATCTGTGGCCCGGGAGCTGGATTCAGAAGCTGCCTGGAATCCCGGCTCTACAGCCGTCTGCTGCTGGAAGGAGCATTTGTTTCCTAAGCTGGGCTGTAGGGAGGGGAAAGGCCCCAGACAGGTTGGAAGAGGGGCCTCTCCCACCCTAGAGGGTGATAGGGATGTCAGAGGCCTCACTGGGTATGTCGGCCTCCAGTCAACAGCCCTTCCTACGCTGGGTGTGAAGAGCAGGTGACATTCACGCTGTGGGCTCCGCCGCGCAGCAGCCCCTAATGTGGCTGGCCTGTCCACCGGGGGCCGTGCCAACATCCTTTCCTGCAATTGGCACTGAGGTCCTGGAGAGGGACACGGGCAGCCCCGAGAGACAGATGAGAGAGCAGATCACACGCGCTATTCTCTGTTCACGGACTTGAGCCCTGGCCAGGCAGCAAGGCCATGTCCAGGAGCTGCTGGATGCGAGTCCTGGGCCTGCGCGACTCTCATGGGGAGGGGGCTGCTATGCCCAGACGACAGTTCTGCATGCGGGCAGGGGCCTGGGGGTCCCTGGGTAGAGGGGGCTGAGATGGGTGGGCTCCACACAGAGCAGAGGCTGGTCCTGTTTCTGGGTTCTGAGCATCCTGCGGGCACTGCTGGGCATCTGGACACCACGGGACAGTGTCACTATCGCTTCTGACACTCAGCCTCTGACAGGGCATGCGCCTGTGAGACGAAGGTGGGCCTGGACACCCTCCGCATCACCTCCAAAGATGGGGGTCTCGGCCGGGCGCGGTGGCTCAAGCCTGTAATCCCAGCACTTTGGGAGGCCGAGACGGGTGGATCACGAGGTCAGGAGATCGAGACCATCCTGGCTAACACAGTGAAACCCCGTCTCTACTGAAAAATACAAAAAACTAGCCGGGCGTGGTGGCGGGCGCCTGTAGTCCCAGCTACTCGGGAGGCTGAGGCAGGAGAATGGTGTAAACCCGGGAGGCGGAGCTTGCAGTGAGCTGAGATCCAGCCACTGCACTCCAGCCTGGGCGAGAGAGCCAGACTCCGTCTCAAAAAATAAATAAATAAATAAATAAAAATAAAAAAGATGGGGGTCTCTGTCCTCTTCCAATTTCTGGGGTCACTGTGGTCGCCCAGGGATTTTGTTTGCTAAAGGAAGGGGTGGACAGACCGGGCGCAGTGGCTCACACCTGTAATCCTGGCACTTTGGGAGGCTGAGGCGGGGGGATCACGAGGTCAGGAGTTTGAGACCAGCCTAGCCAATAAGGTGAAACCCCGTCTCTACTAAAAATACAAAAATTAGCCGGGCGTGGTGGCGGGCGCCTGTAAGCCGGAGGCTGAGGCAGGAGAATCACTTGAACCCGGGAGGCAGAGGTTGCAGTGAGCGAAGGTCGCACCACTGCACTCCAGACTGGGTGACAGAGTGAGAGTCCATCTCGGAAAAAAAAGAGGACGGGGTGGACAGAGGTTATTAGAGGGCCTGGGGGACTGGCTCTAGAAACCCACGTCTTGTACCTTTTCCCCTGAGAGGAAAAAGGGTGTCAAGGAAGGGTCAAAATTCATCCTGAGGCGTGGCATCCTGTGTCTAGGGGTTCAGACAGGGAAAGGAGTGAGACACTCGGCTCCCCGAAAACGCCCTGGTGTGTACGGCTGTAGACAAGCTGCTGGCCTCTCTGGCCTCAGTAGCCCATCTGCAAAATGCGGAGAATGGTGCCCAACTCCCCAGCAACAGCGCTCAGGAACACAGGGTGCTGGTGGGTCAGGTGCTCAGCACGGGGTTTGGTTAGAAACAGCCGCTCAGCACACGTCACCTGAAGTTGTCACTGAGCCACAGGGACAGGACTCACACCTACATATGATCAGCAAAGAGTCTGCCTGCTGGACAATGATGGCAAATACTCCATACACCTGCCCATCCACCCAACCGCGCATCCACCTACCTCCCATCGTCCACCCATCCACCCACTCACACATCCACACACCCATCCATCCACTCACCCATCCAATTACTGACCCATCCATCCATCCATCCACTCACCCATCCAATTACTCACCCATCCATCCATCCATCCACTCACCTATCCATTTACTCACCCATCCATCCACTCATCCACCCACTCACCCATCCATCCATCCATCCACTCACCCACCCATTTACTCACCCATCCATCCACCCATCCACCCACTCACCCATCCACCCACCCATCCATCCACTCACCCATCCATCCACTCACCCACCCAACCATCCATCCACCCATCCATCCACTCACCCACCCATTTACTCACCCATCCATCCATCCATGCACTCACTCATTTACCCACTCGCCCACCCACCCATGCACCCATCTACCCACTCACCCACCCATTTACCCACTCACCCACCCACCTATCCATCCACCCACCTACTCACGACCATCCAACCACTCACCCATCCACTGCCCCATCCATCCACTCACCCACCCATTTACTCATCCATCCATCCATGCACCCACCCATTTACCCACCACCCGTCCACCCACCCACCCATCCACCCACTCATCCATCCATTTACCCACCCAACCATCCATGCACCCACCCATCCGCCCACTCACCCATCCACCCCCCCATCCATCCACCCACCCATCCATCCACTCACCCACCCATTCATCCCCACCTACCCACCCATCCATCCATCCATCCATCCATCCATCCACCCACTTGCCCATCCACCCACCCATTTATTCATCCATCCATCCACCCATCCATCCATTCACCCAATCATCCATCCATGCACCCACCCATCTACCCACTCACCCACCCATCAATCCACTCATCCTCTCATTCATCAACCCACCACCTACCTGCCCATCCATCCAACTACCACCCCCTCACCCATCCACCCATTCATTTATCCACCCACCCACCCATTCATCATTTATCCACCACAACCACACATCCATCCACTCTCCCACCCACCCATTCATCCATCCGTTCATCCACTCACCCACTTACCCATTCACTCCCTCCTTCCTTCCTTCCTTCCTTGACTGTTATGTAGTAGGTGCTGAGCTTTAAAGGAGAAGGAGATAGACTCAGCCCTGAGCTCCATCAATACATCAGGAAAGGGCAAAACAGGACAAGTACAGGGGACCATGAGAACCAGCACAGGGACCCAACTTGCCCTGTGGTCAGTGGAGGCTTTCTGAGGAAGTGGGGCCCTTGAGATGTTTCCACTGAGTCTTGAGCAGGGTTCTGGTGAGTCTTGTGTTCACCAGGATAGAGTTTCCACTGAGTCTTGTCTTTGAGCAGCTCATCTCTCACTCAGTTAGATATCATCATCCTTCATTTCTTCACTCAGTCTAAAGGATCCTACCTGGATGGCTCCATCTTGCTCTTTTCTCTCTGAACCTGAGTGAGTGGTAGTGCTTAGGAGACACCTGGGACAGGTCTGAGACATGCCTGAGGCAGGCGGAACCACTGGTTCCATATACAGCCGTCTCACAGCTGTGGGTCCCAGGACTCGGTGAGCACTAGGGTGCCGAACTCATCCTGGTTTGTCTGGACGTTTCCAGTTTTTGCACTGAAAGTCCCATGTCCTGGGAAGCCCCTCAGTCCTGGGAGAACCAGGATGGGTGATCATCTAGTGGGCAGGTATGGAAGGTTCCCCACTGCCCATGCCCATCTGTGGAGAAGAACATGCTTTGTGGTGTGGATGTGGTGTGGAGTGGGGGTGGAACATGAGCCATGGCTCACAACATGAGCCATGTGTCCCTGGGTGGCCTTACGAGCTCAACAAGCTTGGGGCCATGACTGTCCTTGGCCTTCACCCACTACCTAAATTATCCTGAACACAGACCAGATACTCAATGAGTATTTGCTGATTGAACACATAAGTGAATGAGTGAATGAATGAATGAAGGTGAAACAGGGAATGTGTGCTCCAGACAGAACAGAGTCAAGTCTCTGAGATATTTCAGAGCATTGAACAGAGCATTGAACCAAAGGAAGGCTCAGTGGTAACGAAAACAGGCTGGGCAGCAGCAGGAAGCTCAGGGTCATCATTGCTCTCTTTAAATTGCTCCAGTGGTGAGAGCAATTTCTACAGGAGACCCACTGGCAGGAAGGGCAAAGGGGTAGCCAACAGGGAGGTAAGCATGGAAGAGACCTCAGGAGCCCCAGGCAGCTCCGATCTGTCATCTGGCAGCTATTGTGGGTTCTGTGCAGGTGGAGTCATTGCTAAGCGGGGGGTCCCTGAGTGCATGACATGGGAGACCTGACTACTCAGCTTGAGTATATCATTAGGACTGCGGTTAATGCTAATGACTGCGACCTTGAGTTATTGAGACGTGGTAGAAGTGTGTGTCAAGCTCATTTCTCTAAAAGATGCAGCACCCACCAGGATGGCTGAAGTTCAGAGGGAAGACATCCAGTCCTGGTAAGGACATGGGCAAGTAGAGCCTCATCCTCCTGATCGAAGCTTGTATTGCACAACCACTCCAAAGATGGTTTGTGGTCCACCTAGAGCTGGCATGCCAGTGACCTACGACCCAGCAATTCTGCCGCCAGAAGTCCATCCAGGTGAAATGCACGCTTGTGTTCACCAGGAGAGAAGGTTCTTTGTAGATCTCAAACAGGGAACTTTTCACACAGCCCTCAAGAGTGGGTAGATAAACTACGGTCTTTTCCCACTCTGAGATCCAGCTCAGTAATACGGAGGAACCAGGCAGGCATGCTGAGCCCCTCCTGCAAAGGGGCATGCTAGGTGGCTCATTTGCATAAAGTTACAAGGTGATTTTTTTTTTTCCCAGACAGGGCAGTGAGAAAAACAGTTCAGGGCAGTTTCTTTCAAAATCAATTCAGAGCTATGCAGACCCACTGGAAAGCCAGGTCTCCAAAGTGGCTGGGGTTCCTCCCACTGAGTTGTGGGTATATCCTCCCAGCTTCCAGCTAAAAATCAGGCTAGCTTCTCTCTAGAACCCAGGGTTCAGGTTCTGAAGTCTTCACACTCTGGAATGTTCCTCTCTACTCTGCAGATGTGAATAAAATACCCCAGAACAGGTGAACTGCCATGAGGGCAGTCATGGTTACTTTCTGAGGCTTCATGGGGGCACCTGCAGGAGTGAAGAGGAAGGGAGGAGGCGAGGCGGCGCGCAGCCGCCCAATTCCCCTGCACGGTGAGTTTCTCATCTCTCTAAGTACCAGGGATGTCTTGGTAGGGGAAGAAGATTCTGTGAGAAAGAGGAGACTTAACCTCTGTCAGGACTTTTGTGCTGATCTGATCTGAAATGGGGTCCTGAGCACCCCAGAGTCAGGGCTGGGGGGCAGAGGGGAAAGGAAGGGAGTGGGGGCCGTGACGGTGACAGTGATGATGTGTGGAGGGCGTCTGGGTGCTTGGCCCTTTTCCAGCTTGATCTCAACAAAGGCACGGAGGGCTCATGGGCTGGTGAGAGTTTTCACCCCATCTAACAGAAGAGGGACCCTGACTCCACTTCTTAGTAATTTACCCACAGTCCGCCCCTCACAGCCGGGGCCCAAGCCCAGGAAGAGGAGTGGTGGGGATGGGGCCAGGGTCTGCCACCCTGCCAAGGCCGCAGCACGCCCGGGGCCACACCCACACCCTGCACGGGGCTTCCTCCCTCTCAGGGAGGAGAAAGGAGCGTGCTGTGTCTCTGAATGGGCGGGGGCTCTCGGGCGCAGACCCCAGAGCTCTGTCTCCCCTCTGGACACGCCTGGGCAGCATCTCCCGTGCCCTGTCAGCCCCCACACCAGTCCCTTCGGGGAAGAGTCCTCGGGCGTCTTAGGGAAGAGGAGGGTCTGTGGCTCAGAGCAGCCCCTGCTTCTCCCTGGGCCCCTGAGGGAGGGTCCACAGGCACAGATGGCTGCCCAGGCCGGGCCCTACAAGGACATCCAGGGACCAGGCACCTCTGAGAGTTGGCGGTGCCTGCAGGGGCCCTGGGTGCTGAGCCTGCCCGCCCCCTTCACGGTGTCCAGCACGGGAGGTTGCCGGCGGCAGAAGCTGCAGGGAGGCCGGGCAACCTGAGCAGGAAGCATCCGGCTGGAGCATTTCCTTTCGTTAAATACCCACCCGGCTCCCCACCCGGCTCCCCACCCGGGGAGGAGGCAGGTCACAGGCCGTCCCCGGGCCTCACCGCTTCAGGAATGTACGCGGTGTCAGGGGAGCTGCGGTGCCGTCACCGGGAGGAAGACAGAAGCTGGCGTGGCGGAGGTGGGCATCCGCTCCCATCTGGCAGAAAAGTCATCTTCTTGCAGGGCAGGGACGGAACCAGCTGAGCTTCCTTTGAAAATGAGACAGATGACATTTCAATCTTCCATGGGGTCTGGAGGCCTCACCCCACCCCCGCCTCCCGCTCCACATGCCCGCCTGTGAGGTTCGGGGCGCGGCTCCCCTGGGGAGGGCTCCCTGTCACCTGTTCCTCCCATCTGAGAGCTCGCCGGAGGGCTGTGGGTGGCAGCGGGCGCGGCAGATCCGGCGTGTGGGCGCTGGACTGCTCCTGCCTCACTGCTGCGGTGCCCTTGGTTACCAAACAGCCTGCGCGGGGGCTGGTTTGCAGGAAGCCCCCAGAGAGTCCCCACCCGAATCCTCCTTTATTTTAAATCTGTGACGCTCACGTCTGCTAAACCCACCCCCAATCCCCCAGCCTAAGCTCCAAAAATGCTGTGAGAGAAGGAGCTCTGCTTGGCGTTGGAGGGGTGCAGGGACCCCGGGTGGGGCAGCTCCTGGTGGTCCCTGCCGGCTAGCTCAGGCCAGGCCTGCCAGGAGCTGGCTGAGACGCCGTTACTGTGTCTGGGAAATGGGCGCCCTGGGGCCCCTGCATGGCGTGTCAGAGGGCAGCGGGACAGACAGCAGGAGAGGAGCCTGTGGCTGGAACCAGGCAGGTGGCACCCAGAGCCAGCTGGACAGGCCCGCGGGAGGCATGAAGGCTGCTGGGTGCCAGGGCGGTGCTGGGCCCATGTCAAGAACCCCTGGACAGGGCTCAGACTCCAGATCAGGGTTCAAGGCCACGACCCTGGCAGGTCCTCACCTGCAGTGATGCCAGCCTTGCAGAACCCATGGACGGAAAGGGAAGGGCGTAGGTGCCCTCGGTGCCTGCAGGAGGCCCTGGGAGCTCTGGAGCAGGCAGGGGGGACACACCAGGTGCCCCACAGTGGGAGCAGCTGGAAGCCGTGAACTAGATTTGGGGACTGCCTCCTGGGGAGGTGCAGGACAGCAGGAACCCAGTGAGCGGCAGCCTGAGGGCCCCTGCCTAGCCCATTTGTACAAACGGCCGAGGGCACCGAGCGTGGGGGTTCTCCAAGGCCCAAGGAGGTTCTTCTCTCTAAGGAGGACGGCAGGGAGGCCCAGAGGCCCAGGCAGCTGGAGCCGGTGGGGAAGCAGGCAGGGAGGAAGCTGACAGGTGGCATGGGAGCCAGGGTGAACCACCTGGCCAGGACTGAGGAGGGGGGCCGTGCAGCAAACTGCATCCAGATTTCAGAAAGAAAGAGGAAGGGGGAAAGAGGAAAAGCCAGCTGGTTCCATGGAGCAAGCCGGCACGGGCATTCCCATGGGGCCGGATGGGAACCGGGTCGGATCACGTGTCTGCCTCCGGCACGGGGAGGAAGGGCCCTGGAAGCAGCTGCCTGAAGGGACATTTCTCTTCCTGGGAGGAGGGGGAGCGATGTCCACTCTCCTGGGCCCTGGAGTGTCCTTAGCCCTGAACCTGCCTCTCCTGTCCGTGCCTCTCACTCTCGGCTCACATGCTGCCTCCTCCTGGAAGCCCTCCCAAACTGGCCCAGACGGAACCCTCTGATGGTCTCCTTCAGGGCCATGGTCACCGTCAGTTACCACTGTGAGGGGTGGGACTGTGTGGGTCCCAGTTTCCTCATCCCCAGGCTGTTCCTCTGTGAGGTCACAGCTGACCCTGGTGCCTCACGCCAGGCACACGGAGCTGCTCACCAGCCCCCGTGACCAGCTGAGCGGCTTCAAGCCACTGAGGGGTGAATGGAGGCTGGAATTTGGGCCAGAGTCTGGGTGGGAGACTCATGTCCTGGCCTCTGGGCTGAGCTCAGGACAGGTCCCTCGAGCTGCTGGAACCGGCGGTCAGAGGCTGATGTCGGGTAGGGCTCTGTGGACCTTCATGGCTTCCCAAGAGCAGGGAGGCTCTTCTGGGGCAGCCCAGCCGGCAGGGGCCAGGCAGGTCCGGGCAGCGTGGGCTCCCTGGGGCTTCTGAGAGCCTGGCCTGGGAGGGTGGCAGGGGCCGTGCCCCCCGGGGGTGCCCACACTTTGGGAAAGCTGCTGGTGCTTCCCTGGCCCTCCCTGGTGCCCGCAGGCTCAGGGCCCCCGGATCAAGATGCATGGGGCCGGGACTCGATTTAACCTCAGACAAGACTGAGGTGGGGCCGGCAGCTGGAGAGCTGAGGCTGCACCTGCCGCCCCCTGTGAGGGCCGAGTCCCGTCCCTGGGAAGTGCCGGTTGGGAGGCTGCTGAGTGCAGTGTCTCCCCACCCCAGGAAGGTTCCCAAGTTTGGGATGAATTCCTTCTCCCGCCCAAGTTTCTTAGTGACCTTGACAAGTGGCCCGGACAGCTGGCTCTCCAGCCGGGGCCGGAGGAAGGAGTGCTGTTGGCCATGGGACCCGGGACGGGGACCCCAGTTCCCTGACCTCCAGTCAGAAGCCCCCAGGCCCCTGTGATGCCATGTACACAGCGCGCTCCCTGTGGCCTCAGCTGGGTGATGACCCGGGTCTGGGTGGGAACCTCGCTTCTCAGGCCATGTGGGTTAAACTCGGGGATCTTGACCTGCTTTGGAAAATCGAAACCGTATTTTCGCTCCTGGAGCTCCGCAAAGTGTTTGAACCTGGACTCGGAAAGCTCATTTGGACACAGATGCAGTTTCTCCCCAGGAGATTCCATTTTCCCCGGAATGCCAGCAGGAAAGTCAGCAGGAAGCCGGGCTGGGGGTGTGGGAGGGCAAGCAGAGTGGGGGTGCAGGGAACATGTGCTCCTGGCTCTGCGCAGCGGCTGCGGGCCGTGGGCTCCCCACTCAGCTCTCCTGGGCTGCTCCTGTCCTGAAGACCAGGCCGTACAGAGCAGGTTTCACAGGTGAGGACACACATCCCAGCTCGTCACACGGCAGGGGCTGCTCCCGGCCTAGAAGGAAGGACAGCAGTGCTGTCTCCATCACTGGGGAGAGGGAGCTGATGGCTCCATTCGGGGGGGTGGCCGGGAAAGGCCCCCAGGACCCTGACACCTGCAGCTGTCTAAAGTCTGTGAAATCCGAACCACTGTCGGCCACGGCGTCCTTGGCTCCGACGCGCAGGCTGCCCAGTGGCGCCTCCAGGAAAAGCTGCTGGGTGTGAGGGGCAGAGATGGGGGCTGCGAAGTGAAGCCTGGAGGTTGGGGAGTGTCCACTTGAGGATCAGCCTGTCGGGGTTCGGCCCAGGGGTCCCCAAGCTGCGGGACGTTCAGGGCTAAAGCCAGGAGAGTCCCAGGCAGACCTGTGGACGGTGGGTCTCCCCTCTTCAGCTCCCCAGGCGCTGGCCTTTCGGGTCTGGAGGTGCTGCCCCTCCAGTTCGGCGGGGTGGGGCCCTGCCTCAGTGCCCCTGGGCACAGCAGCTAAGAGTACCTGGCTGGAGTGCTGAGGGCCCCCAGACCTGGGGCCCAGGTGGCCTGGAGATGCCTCCTCAGCTCGGCATTTACCGTGAGGTGGGCGGTTCCAGATGCCTGGAGCTGAGGGCCTGGCAGCGGGTGTGTGGCAGTGCCACATGGCTGCCCGGGTAAAGTGCCAAGAGCCGGGTGGTTTACAAAACAAACCTGTCCTCTCACAGCTCTGGAGGCCAAAAGTCTGAGATCGAGGCTTGGGCAGGGCCACGTTCCCCACAGAGCTTCCAGAGGAGGATCCTTTCTGCCTGTCCCAGCTCCTGGTGGCTCCAGGTGCCCCTTGGCCTGTGGCCACATCGCTCCAACCTCTGCCCCAGCTTCACGCTGCCGTCTCCTCTGCACGTCTGTCTTCTCCTCTGCTCCTACAAGGACACCCCTCGCGGGATTTAGGCCCCACCCAGATAACCCAGGATGACCCCACTGCAAGATCTTTTGTTCAATTACATCGGCAGAGACCACTTCCCAACCAGGCCAGAGTCACAGATTTCCAGGGTCAGCTGTGGACACCGTTCAGCCTGAAACATCATCTCATCCACACCTCCCATCACCACCGTGGAGGTGAAGTTCAGGTTCTCACCGACTGCCCACTACCGTTTCTCCAGGGAACCCTGGATGTCCACAGAGGGGCCGATGGCTGCCCCCGGCCCGTCATGGGGCCTCAGCTCTGACACCTGAGCTTCCGAATTCACTTGTTTAGATTTTCAGGAGCGTTTTTTCTTCCCAGGGCACCGTGTGCCTTTCCAGGGAGCCCTGGGGGTGGGGGCATGGAGTGCTCCCCTGGGTCTCCCAGGGGCTTCTGCTGCCTGAGGGGTCCGTCCAAACTACATCGGATGCGCCGCTGCTGCCCTCCTGGCCCGGCGGGAAGCTGACGCCTCCGGGAGCTCTTGGTGGTGAGCCGTGTGTGGAGAGCTCCTTGCTCTGGGGGCCCTGTCACCTGGGCGCAGTTCAGGGTCTCTCGGAGCTGGAGATGTGGCGGGAGGGAGGCCCAGCCCCACTTCTGGGCTCCCTGAGGCTCCACTAATCTTGGGAGGGGAGAGAGGCTGAATTCCTGGTAGTGACCTGAGGACTCACACAGGTAAACCGAGCAAGACCGTGGGACCGTGGCACCCCACACCTGTGTACCTGCCGCAGCCCGAGGTCCATCCCGGGGGGAGGGACCCACACCTGTGCACCTGCCGCAGCCTGATGTCCACCCTGGAGAAAGGGACCCACACCTGTGCACCTGCCGCAGCCCGAGGTCCATCCCCGGGGGGAGGGACCCACACCTGTGCACCTGCCGCAGCCCGAGGTCCATCCCCACGTGGAGGGACCCACACCTGTGCACCTGCCACAGCCCGAGGTCCATCCCGGGGGGAGGGACCCACACCTGTGCACCTGCCGCAGCCCGAGGTCCATCCCCGTGGGGAGGGACCCACACCTGTGCACCTGCCACAGCCCGATGTCCATCCCGGAGAAAGGGACCCACACCTGTGCACCTGCCACAGCCCGAGGTCCATCCCCAGATGAAGGGACCCACGGACATGGCTCATCCTTACCGTGGAATGTGAGCCACAAAAGGGGGAGGCCTCAGCTCAGCCACTGCAGGGACGGACTCAACACATGCCAAGCGGAAGAAGCCAGGCCTGAGAGGCCACCTGCGATTCCACCTGCGGAAATGCCGGAAAAGGAGGTCCACAGATGCGAGAGCTGGATTGGGGGGACGGCCAAGGGGCGAGAGGTTTCCTTCCGGATGAAATTGCCCTGGAACGAGATGCGGGGCAGGGGGAGGTGGCCACAAGATACTGCGGCTCTGCTGGATGCCATGGTACCGCATGCTGTGAACGGCTAA